TGGTGAGTGGTTTTTGTTTTGGGGATTGGTGTTGTTGTTGTTGTGGTGGTGGTGGGTGGGGTGGGCTGGGTTGGGTTATTCTTTGATGTTTTGGCGAGGAGAGATGGTTGTGGGTGGGTTGAGATTTTAAGACGGCTGCTGGGCTTCGAGGAATAAATACCTATGCCTGGAGGAATGTACGAGGAACGAGTACTTCCGGAAGGTTCCTTAGGTGAGAAAAGCCACTGCATGGTATGCTCCAAGCACGGACCAATTTCTTTCCTTTTTCGAACTATTAAGCTAACTAGTTATCCACTAAAAACAGTAACTATCAGTTCTCACCTGTACTGTAAAGCTTTTATTCTCGCCTGTATTCTCACCTGCATTGTAAAGCTGGTGGAACTTGCCTCTGACTGTCACGGAACCAACCCTTACCTGGTAGATGATGCTATCCGGTAGGTTCATGCTCGATCCTCACCCTTATAGCTAAGCCCTTGGCTCCTTAGCTTCTCCACCTCTTCATGTTGCAACAGAGATCATCACCGTGACTCTAGGTCCGGGTCGTGATACGATGAGCGTCTCGAAGTTGGGCTTGGCAACAGAGGTGCACAGACGGTCTTTGCTGGCACGGACCTCTCTCTCCTTCCTCTTCGGTGAACAGTGTCGTTTTTTTCCCTCTTACTGAACCCATGGCTGTTTTCTTTGTTCTCTTCTTGCTTGGATCGGCCGGAGAGGCTGTCTGTCTTCTTTGTTGCTTCCTGCTTGGCTCGGTTGGAGACGCCGTTTCCCGTTTCTTGGCTCGTTATTCGCCGGAAACAAAACCAGACACTGTCATGATCACAATGAACCTGCTTCTGGCCCGGAGGCCACGAAGACGAAAACGTCCTTCATAGATGTATTACAATATAGCAGCAACTCTGAAAGAGACTTTCCGCGTTAGATTTCCGCCTCGGTCCAGAGGGGCGCGTCCTCTTCGTCGGCGGTTTCAGTGCCCTGGCCAGATTCAGGCATGGCATTCCATTCTTGAAGCTACGACTCGTGCTTGTGGTCTTCCTCGAACCGCCGTCTGGTCTCCTTGCCCCGTTGTTCCAGCTTGACGATAGCGTTTCTCATGTCTTTGTCAAGGACATTCTTGGGCTCAATAAAGTCGCCGTGCGCCGGTTTCCGAAACAGATGCAGCCCGTCCCAGCTCTCCGCCCTCGATAGCTGCACGTACAGGCTCATGAAGCTGGGCCGCGTCGCCGTGCCGCTCAATGGACGCCTTTGAGGTTGACGAGCACATCCGAGAATTGTTTGCCTTGGCTCTTCTGATCTGTCATGGCGAAGGCCGGCGTGCAGAGAGGCCCGGTTCTGTGGGTAACCCACCTGAAACCCGGCTTGCCCCTCCATCTGCCTTCTTTGCCCCGCATTTGGCTCGGGATGGCGACCGTCTTGCTCTTGATTAAAATCGTGCCATTGGGGAGCCCGGGAATGGCGAGGTCCCCTGGATCTTCGCCGTCACGCTGCTGTCCTCTTTCTTCAGGACCTTCAATACCGCGTCGATCTCCTCGCGGCTGGGCAATTTTATGCCGCGGAAAGGCGAATCTTGGAGATCCTGCAGCATGGTATAGAAGTGGCGACCACGCAGGCCCTTTCTCTCCCCGAATGCCATCCCTCTCGTCACAATACCCGTGAATCCATTGCTGCTGCATGTCTGCTCCTCATCCCACTGTCGTTCACCCGATACCCCCGTGCCAAGTAAGCGACATCAAGGCATTGCCGGTACAGACCTCATCGTCACCTACCACTCGGACTTGCCAATGCGAGATCCTGCCAACCGGCTCCCGCTACACAAGCGCGGGAAACTTCAAGGCCGGGACCTTCCTACCATTCATCCAACCCGCTTTTATTGAAGAGCTCTACCCGCGCCTCCCGAGTACCGAAGACGAAGACGGCTCGGGACTTCCGGTGATATTCTCCATGTTCAACACCGAAGCGAAAATAGCAACCCTGGAAGAAGATTGGGAAGGGAAATGGCTCAGTATCGTCGCCCGACTTTTCCCAAACAAACTCACATTCCAAGGCGTAGGATTTAGCGGGTGGGAGACAGACGAATCGCAGTCTGTACAGGTGGCACTGGCACTGCCGCGCGATGACGGCTTGACTCCGTACGCGCTATTACTTTGCACTGAAGCAGAACCTGGCTGCTAACACTTCCAATTGTCATCCCCCGCCAGCTCGGTGGTCCTGACGAGACCGCTCTCTGGCCAACCACTTCGGCACATGTATCCTTTGCCGGCCCTGTCGACCTGGAAGTCACTGGCCGGATGGATGCGGACCGCCGCAAACCCCTTTTCTAAAGGCTTGTGGATCGCATGCAGTGCTCGACTCCTGGGGGTCCTAGACCGCGACCTAATCCGAAGGCCTCAGCTAGTCGATTCCAGCGTTCGAATCCTGGTAGTTCTTCCCGACAACTGGGAATTCATTCGGCAGAATTCCTTGTCTACCAACAATACACCCACGTCAAAATCATCGAACCTTGTCGACAAGTCACCTACGACACCACGCCCAGCTGGCCGCGGAGGAGTCGCAAGCAGAAATCCATTCTCGTCACCAAACCGTGCCCTAAAGACCGCAGAACGCGAAACGACCGCACTAGCAGCCAGCCCTGGAGCAGCGGTGGCTTCAATCACGGCGAACCCTGCCCCGATGTCCGCAGTTCCATCTTCAGGTATGTATCGCCGCCTTCCAGACTTACGGCTCACCTAACCGTTGATTTAGATGACGATAGCTCCAACGATGGTTCGGATACAGAGCAATTGTTGGAAGCTCAAATCGCTTCGAGTAGCGGTACCCCAACAAAGAAGAGGAAGGAACCAAGCTCTCCCGAACCGGTCAGAAGCAAGAGATCCACAGCGGGAAGGAAGAAGGCGCGTCTGTATGACTAGCTTTTGAGGTTGACCAAAGAACTGCTTTTGCTTGCTTTCCCAACATTCGTCAACCGTCCTAAAACTGATCGACCAACCATATTCTGATGCCGCTATGGGTTACCTGCGCCGGCCCGTTCCTCCAAGCTTCCTTTGGCGTGCCCGCGCGCAGCGGGCACGGTCACTCTTGTAGGACTTTAAGGCTGGTTGCGGACTGTGGTATAGCTTTGCAAGGGTTGAGTGTGAGCTGTTTGCAAAGGGTTGGTGGGGCGTCAGTCAGCTGTTTAATTATCGGGTGAGACAATCTCCCAAAAGCGAACTTGAACTTGGCCGTAACACTCTCTTTGTTTTACTCATGTATTGAATAAAAACGAAGAAGAAAAATGAAGAGAAGATCTACTGTGAGACAATATGACAAAATTGCAACGTTTGGTCATCCTGCTCAAGACCCATTCTATCCTTTTTATTGTGGTGACTCTCGCCCTGGCTGTGTATATGTGCCCGCTTAAGTGCATACTCACCCTTCATCGTCTCCCGCTTCCTGCACATCCCCGCTGACTATGAAGTCATAGGATAGCGCAAATTGCCCCCTGCAAACCCCGCAGTCGCTGCAAACACCCCACCTTCTCAGCTGCCCGTGGTCGTTAGCGGGGCATCACTCAGCGCATTGTTCCTTGAAGGATTTGGATTCGTTTAAGCTGCTTGAGCTGGAGCTGAGTCCTACCACACAACACCTTCAGTCCTAAATTGTCCGGATCCGGAGTTGTCAAAATGGCCAGCCGCGGAGGTCAACAACAAGGAGAGGCAGGTTAGTTCCGCCCAAATTTCCATTTCCGTTTCCACCCCCAAACCCCTAGAGGCACCAACACTTGCTCGCCTTGGCCAAAAGTTACCCCACCATGGCATCCACGAAGCACACTGCTCGCTCTTGAGCCACCTCGATCTCTTATCCATCAGAACACTAACCCACTCCAGTCGACCTCGGCACCCTCAGCGCCCAACAGCTGAGCGCCGTCAAGAAGCAGCTCGATGGCGAAGTTGAGCATCTCTCTAGCTCGTATGGCCAGCTTGCCGCCGCCCAAGCCAAGTTCAAGGAGTGCCTGCGGGTAGTCAAGTCCGGGTCATCATCATTTGACAGTGCGTGCTCCTCGTGTGGTTGTTGACGACGAGCCTTGCCATTGGCCGAGCCGCCATACTAACCAAACCCCCCACATGATCAGAAGAGAAGTCCATCCTCGTTCCGCTCACCAACTCCCTCTACGTCAAAGGCCGGCTCGCCGATCCCGACCGGGTGCTCGTCGATGTGGGGACAGGCTTCTACGTGGAAAAGGTACCGTTCAGCCATTCACATCCCCACCATCCCACATCTTACACTAACCCATCAACAGACCACAGAATCCGCCTCCGAGTTCTACGACGCCAAGGTCAAGGAGCTGGCCGGCAACATCCAAGGCCTAGAGGGCATCGTGCAGGCCAAGACCAACAACCTGCGCGTTGTCGAAGAAGGTTTGCTTTCCCTCCCTTCCTCATTTCCTCCTTTTCGTCTTCCCCCGCTTCCCTCCCCTACCACATCCAGAACCGCCATCAACAACCTCGTTTATCTCCTCCCCTTCTCATCACCTACCGTCAACCCCACCGTCATGATTATTAGCAACGCACCGCCATGACGCACGGTACTGACACCACTTTACATAGTCTTGCGGCAAAAGGTTTTGGCACAAGGAGGACCAGGTGCGGCCGGACAGGCATCCTCATGACACCATCGACCATATGGTAAATAAGCCTAGTTCGAGTAAACCGCGATTCAAATATTGAGTAATGATCGCCGTCTGGCCGAGTGAAGCCCAAATACGATGCCATCCTGCTTCGTGTCACCATATTATGCACTGAGCATGGGTTTTAAGTGTTTTCTTATCATGCGGGCCAACAGGCACCTCTGGTAATACATAACATCCCAACAAATCCAGTCCCCCATCATCCCATCCGCCCGTTTGCGACCTCAGATGCCCATCTGTCCATGGCGAAAACATCGAATTCAACCCCGTCATTCAGTGAAAGCAAAAGTAGCCGTGATAAGAAGGGAGAAAGAAGACAAAGAAGGAATACAAGTACATCCCACCCTCGCCACCCTTACCAACACACCTCCACCACGGGCGATTTTAAGCGCTGTCGAGTGCTTTACGAATCCAGCCGACCCATGCGAGTAGATGATCCATGTGATCCGTCGCCCTGCCGCCAGGAGCCTCGTCATCGAGCTCGTGCTTCAGGAACTGCTCGGCGAAGGTGTCGTCCCACGGACGGGGAAGAGACACGCCAGCACGCATGTCTTGGTCCCAGGCATCGGCGAAAAGTACCACGCTTGCCGTCGTTACCATGGGCCCCGCATTCTGGCCAGGCTTCCCGGACTGCCACTCGTGAAACAAGTTGATGTCCAGCATATATTTCCAGCCGAGGTCGTACCGCAAGGTCGTCTTGCCGTATACATGGCCGATGTGGTTGTTGAGAAGAAAGTGATCTTTGATGTGGAGAGTGGGAAAGCCTCTACCCAACGACCCTTCCTTGAACACGACGTTATCTCCTAGGGTCTTAGCGCTGAAGGGTGCGACCGGCGGGGCAACCTGCTCTGCGGCGCTCTTCTGGATCTCGAGTCCCCAATCATGAATGCTGAAGTCAATGTTAGTAAGGGTCTGCATTGGGGTGGCGAGAGGTGGCTCGGCTTACCTCTCTGGGCACACGGTGATAACCTCCGTGGCCCGGTGCTGCTTCTCGAGTTGATGGGTCGCCAATGAGCCAAAAGTATACCGCTTTCCCTGTTTGGCGTTCCGAGTCCTGTCTTCCTGGCCTGCCACCAGCTCGATGGCCGTCTCGACGGTGAGGTTCTTGGTTTCCAGGATAATGGAGTGAGACGCCTTCGGCTCAACATCCTCGCCATCGGGGCCCTCGAGGCAATTCCTCACAAACTCGGGCAGCTCCATGTTGGCCTTGGAAAGCCGGCCAATGAGCGCTTCCGCAGCGGCTTCGCTGACGCTGATGATACGTCAGTCAATTGGTGTTGGAGGGTTAAGGGATGTGAACTTACGTGTTGAGCATCTTCGAGGTGCCCCTCGTCCCGGCGCTGCGAAGCAAAGCTCCCAGCTCGGCAAGGTCGTACTCCACTTTGTCCTTCTTCCACTGGTGGAGGAGGAGGGTACCAAATTGTACTTTCATGCGCATGCCGTTGGGGTCATGACGCAGCATCTGGGTCGTTTTGTCCAGGGTCGTAGCCAGGTCGCTCTTGTATTTGGCCATCTTTGCTGCGAAGGCGGCCGCGTCGATGCCTTCGGGGTTGCTGGTCTTCGCGGCGGCGATGTACCGACCAATGGTACCATCCTTCTTTAGAAGGATGGCTCGGAGGTCGCCTCCATGGCTCGAGGGGTTGACCAGTAGCCGGGCACGCCACAACTCCTCGGCCGATCGGTGGAGGAGCTGGACCCGGAGGAGAGCGATGATCTCCCGAGCTTTCGCTCGGTTGATCGCCTGGACGGTGACGGTGACGGCGCCGTCGACTTCCTCAACCTCGATCATGGACTCATGATCTTTCGCAATGCGAGAGACCATTGCCATGACGTCGGTGTCCGAGTTGTGGACATCCTTGAAACCACGCCCTGGCGCGGGCCACACCACCACAACCTTCGAATGTTGGTCAGTCATTTCAATTGCGAGATTGGCAGGATCAGCATGACTTACGGTGATGTTGAGCTTTGCCGCCGGTCTCTTGTTGACCTGGTCGGCCCCCGAGGTGAAGATCTTCCTCCGCGCGGCTTGCTCCATGATCGTTCTCGAGTCGAGGGCCCGATCCTGGTGCGACGATTGATTTCCCCGTGGCGGGGGAGTGAGGAAACCGGGCGCTGGCACCGGAATTGGACGATCGCTATAAAAATCCTCAAGGGTCAGTGAAGAGAATGGGCGATGAGAGATGGGCAAATAAAAACGGGTGATGGGCGATGGGTGATGAGCGTTGAGGAATGGGCAGGAAGGAAGTCGACCCAACATAAAAAGAAAAACGTACCCCGAGGAGGCGACAGAAGTTGCACCGCTCTGCGAAATGCTGATGAAAAGAAAGAAAAGAAAAGTCAACAATCTAATCGAGAATAAAGCAGGTAGGCCCGTCGAGAAGCTGGGTCTCGAAACAAACCAAGGAACTGGTCCTTGGAAAGTTGAGGAAAAGAAGAAATCCAATCGAGGAAAAGGGCGAGGAAGGAGGCCTTAAATAGAAGAATTTTCGGAACGACCCCGCCGCATCAGCCAGGCTAGGGCTGCTGCAAAAGAAAAACAAGGCGAGCAAGGGCCACGCGGGTCCATGACAGGAAGCATGTGTAATGTGCCTTCCTCGAGAAGTTTTGGGCTCGGCGGTGCTGGAGGAAGGAGTGAATCTCCAGTGCCGAGCAGACCCGCAATTCCTCTGAGAAAGAAACCGAACAGGGAAGGAAGTAAACAAAAACAAAGGGGCAATGTGACTGAGGTTGTGGGATGGAACAATGAAACACAACCCGGAACAAATACCCCAAACTCAAGTGAACTTCTCTGTGAAGGAGAAAGAAACTTACTTTGGTTAGCGGGGAGGCGGCGGGAGGAGAAACGGCGGCGGAAGCGAGGGAAGCTGCAGGACGGAGGGAGGCAGCAGGGCAGAAGATGGCGGCGGTGGGGCGGAGGCCAGAGGCGGGCACGGCGACCATGGTCGGGGCGGCGGCTGGTGGCATTGGCGGGGGCGGTGGGAGGGTCGACAGCGGTGGGAGTGGTGGTGGTGCTGGTGGTGGTGGTGTTGGTTGGGGCAGCCCGGGTCCCGGTCATGGTGCTGCTGATGTGGGTTAGTCAAAGAACCGCCAAAGAAATCGAGGGAGTCAAGAGCCAGAAGTAACCTGAGAGTGGAAATAAACCTGGCACCAGAAAAGAAAGGCCATCAACAAAACCCATGGCTTATGGAAAAGCAAAGGGCTTCTAAAAGAAGGCCAGTCCAGCTTCGAGAGGACAAACAGAAAAACAAACATGAGAAAGTACTCAAAAAAGCAGCCACGTCCGGGTAACTGGCTGGTCAGGGAAAAGGGCATCTGCCACTCTACCCCAGCAGACCGACAAGACCAAAAAACACACAGAAACAGAAAATAAACATGCTGGGACCAGAATGACATAAAAGGTATTGAAAAAAAACAGTGAAGGTCGGAAGCCGAAGTGGTAAATAAACGCCAAATTAAGAGAGACATACCCAAACGCGGTCGGGTTCTGGCCCGACGAGGGCCCCGCGGTCGCTGCTCCTCTGGCGGGCTGCGACCCGCCGCGAAACTCTTTGCTCGCCCAGTCACTGGGCATCTTGATATTTTTTAAAGTTTCTATTGTATCGTTAGTGATGATGAAGATCAATGATGTTGCCTTCACGGCGGCGATGAGGGGAGTACTTACGAGGCGTGCTGGTCGGTTGGGCTGGTCGGTTGGGCTGGTCGGTTGGGCTGATCGGTTGGTTTGATAGAAAGGAAATCAGAATTTGAACTTGAGAAAGGAATTATTTATCACTGCGGGATCCCGGAAGGGAAGAATGATCGGGCCGGAGATGGTGATGGTTCGGACGGAGAGCAAGGTGGAAGGTGCAAACATGGAGCCGTGCTTGAAATGGAATCTATGACTGGCGGCACTGTCTCCTGCCCCAACTACCTATCTCCTCTCCTGGAGATGACAAAGCCCAATGTTATACAAACCAAGATGTGATATTTTGTGCTAACACAAGTTTCAGACTGGAGGGACAACTGTGAAGGTGATAAACATTGACCATCATTGTAGTGATCCTGCAGATAATCTAGGCAGCACATGGAGCTCAAGTTGACATAGACACTGCCTACAAGTAACATAAGAGAAAAGGGGTATGTCACAAGGATAAGTTCAAAGGTAAATAACAATTTGGACCGCTTGCTCATGGATATTTTCAGGGAGAACTAGAGCAAAGTCTTGCCATGGCTTTCCAACTTCTATGCCCAGATGATGAAGGGCATGAGTTAACCTTCTTGGATTTGTTTAGGCGTTATTTCGCCTGGAAGCAGGCTCTCGGATTTTTAACATGGCACCTCACTATCGAGTAGATAGGTGAATACTTTGGTATTTGCAGCCACAGGAAGAGCACAAATCTGGTTAATTTGGACGGACAGGATCCAAGATGGTCAGCACTTGATCCTATTCCACAAGCCTATCCTCGTTGGTTCCTGATCTCTCCATTGGAATTCTTTTGCCTTCGTCCGGTGTGGCCTCCTGAATGTTCCTTTGACCAATGTATGCTAAAGTATGGGTCAAAACTTGATGTATTTGTGAGTTGAATGTCACTGTAATAACCACACTGCTCCAAATTCCTTAGTTACCCCCTCTTCCTGTGTTTACTTTGACTGAGGGTTAGGGTACAGGGATGCGGCTTCCACAAGGAACAGATTGGGACTTGAGAATAATGGATTTGCAGAGAATAGGAACAACATCCTACCAAACGAAATAACATAGCTCCTTCAGAGATAGCTGATGATGGTTTCCGCGTACAGATTAAATGTTGTTACTTCAATTCCCTTGATGTCCTCGGTCTTGGCATTCACCCGCTGTGGCCCCAGTTTTGCGGTTGCCAGGCGGCGAGGGACAGCGGGAGCAGGGATCTTAATTGACTTTGACGCGACAAATCGGGCGAGACGCGTCGTCGCGCAAACAGCAACTCGGATGCCATCCATCATTCTGCGCACTGGGACAAGACGTAACGTTATCTGGATTTCTGCCAAATAAATAACATAATCCTCTTACACTCTTGTTTTACAAACCCTAAAATGGCCAGCCTTATGGGGCGCTCGCGCTCGAAACGTCCTCTGCCAGGAGTAGCTAGGGAAGATTCCGACGACGAGTTGGAGACCGATGACCTCCCCTGGGAATGGATTTACGAGGAAGTGGTGGATGACGAACCCGCCGAAGAGACCGGTAGAAAACGGAAACGGACCGTAGCCCACGAACCCCAGATCATTGGCGCCCGCATGGGCAGCTTTGAATGCTATCTGGGGGATACGGTGCTGCTGAAAGCTGAAGGCTCTAACGAAGCCTGGGTCGGCATAATACGCGAATTCCAGGCCGACGAGGAGGGCGAGAAAGCAGCAAACTTCATGTGGTTTTCGTCGGCCCAGGAGATCCGCAACCCCAAAAAGAAGAGGACCGACTTTCTCGAGGTGCGTAGCCGTCCCTCCGGCGCAACCCTTGGCCGTTTGGCTAACGGGTTGACTCTGCATTTATAGAATGAGCTATATATTACCCCTGCCTTCGATGTCAACTCGCTGGCCACCCTCAACGGCAAGGCCCATATCCTCTCCGAAGCCGCATACATGGCCAAGTACCCGACCGGCAAGGTTCCGCGCAAGTCGAGCGAGTTTGGCAAAGTGTTTATCTGTCGCAGGGGATGCAACACACGGACGGGCACCTATACAGACGAATTCGTATGGGAGGATATCTACCGTGGGCGAGAGGATATGGAGACATTGCAGGATATGGTCTTGAAGAACACCAAAGCCACCCGGAAGCGAAGACAAGCGAAGGAGGAACCGACCGACAAGGATTACAAGCACGATGCAGCGGACGATGAAGAGGGCGACTATGCCCCGGGGACACCGCGCACCCCAAAGAGAGCCCGAACCCGCGACGCTGTCACGCCCAGCAGCAAACGCAAACCCGGCAGCAAGCCCGCGACTCCCTCTTCACACCGACGCATCCTCGTCAAAAAGCACCTCGAGTTTACCCCCCTCGCAACCCGCGTCCTCTCTCCGCACCACATTCACGCTTCCCCCTACCAACTGGCTCGCACCCAACTCCACGTCGCATCGGTCCCGACCAGCCTTCCCTGCCGCGAAGCGGAATTCAGTCTCGTTTATTCGCATCTCGAAGCGGCCATCACCGACGGCTCCGGCACCTGCATCTACATTTCGGGGACGCCAGGCACGGGGAAAACGGCAACAGTGCGCGAGGTGGTCAGCCACCTAGACGCGGCGGTGCGGGCAGACGAGCTAGACGACTTCATCTTCGTGGAGATCAACGGCATGAAGATCACCGATCCGCACCAGTCATACTCCCTCCTCTGGGAGGCGCTCAAGGGCCAGCGGGTCAGCCCGGCGCAGGCGCTGGACCTGCTGGAGCGCGAGTTCAGTCACCCGTCGCCGCGGCGCGTACCCTGCGTGGTGCTGATGGACGAGCTCGACCAGCTGGTCACCAAGAACCAGGGTGTCATGTACAACTTCTTCAACTGGCCCGGCCTGCGCCACAGCCGCCTCATCGTCCTGGCCGTCGCCAACACCATGGACCTGCCCGAGCGCACCCTCAGCAACAAGATCAGCTCGCGCCTCGGGCTAACCCGCATCACCTTCCCGGGGTACAACCACGAACAACTCATGCGCATCGTGCAGAGCCGCCTGGAGGGCGTGCCGGGGGACATCGTAGACGGGGACGCGGTGCAGTTCGCCGCGCGCAAGGTGGCGGCCGTGAGCGGCGACGCTAGACGGGCGTTGGATATCTGCCGGCGGGCGGTTGAGCTCGCCGAGGCGGACGCGAAAGCGAGGGACGGCGATGGCGGCGATGGCGATACCGGGGCGCCAGACACACCAAGCAAGAAGGCGGGCCGCAAGGCCAAGGCCGACGAGACGCCCAAGAAGAAAAGAGCCGCCGCCGCCGCCGGGCGCGTCACAATCGAGACGGTGCGCCGCGCTATCAGCGAGGCCACCAGCAACCCGCTGCAGCAGTACCTACGCTCGCTGCCCTTCGCGTCGCGGCTGCTGCTGGCGGCGCTGCTGATGCGCACGCAGCGCACGGGGCTGGCCGAGAGCACCTTCGGGGACGTGCTCGAGGAGATGCAGCGCACGCTCAAGCTGGCCGGGGAGAGCCGGCCGTTGATGTTGCTGGACCGGAAGGCGGCCGAGATCACTAATGCCAACGCCGGCGGGGCAAACTCGGGCCTGATGATGACCGGGCCGATCCGCGCCAAAAACAGCTCCCAGCTGGTGCGGCCCGCCGGGCTCAGCGCTGCTGCCGTGGATCTCACGGGGGCGGGCATCATTAACTTGGAGGCGCACAAGGCTGAGCGACCGAGCAAGATGCGTCTTGCGGTTGGGGATGAGGAGGTCAGGCTGGCGTTCCGGGATGACCCCGAGATCAAAGGGCTTGGTGTGATGTTGTAGTTGTAGAGAAAAGATACCCATATTATATACCGTTAGACCAGAATAGAAATTGTCAGGTTCATTCTATCTATCGTATCGCTTTCTCTTTGCTTTCCCTTCCCGCGTGCAAATGCGCCAACAGACATATATGTGTACAAGCATTCAACATTACTGCCTAACCCCTCTCCTCCGTTTAAAACTTCCTCCTTGATAATGTCGGCTTCCACTCGAGGGGATGTGATTCTGGCGTGGCAGTCGGATCCTCCTTCCAGATTTTGACTGTCGATTTGTTAGCTTTTGGTCCATGAACCGCACATCTATCGGCGGAAAACTTACTAGTCTTATCCGCCTCTCCGCATATCAACCTCGAACCAGAATTATCAAATATGGAGCTCATCAGCCCAGACTCGGCATCCAGCGAACCAGGCTGCGCCGTGGTATCCAGCGCCTGAAACCGGTGGCCGGACTTCCAGTCCCAGAAGCTCATGGACCCGTTATCGCCGCCCGAGAAAAAGACATTCTGGGCGTTGACCGACATGGTGTTGATGATGGCGTTGTGGCCCTCAAAGTTCTGCATGAAGGCGCCCTCGGGGCACTTCCACTGCTTGATGGTTCCCGTGCTGCCGCTGGCGAAGGTGAACTCGGTCGGGTGGGTGGCCAGCGCGCGCACGCCCTTCTTGTGGTGCGTCAGGACCCCCATCGTCTTGCCAGCCGCCAGGTCCCACATGCGCACCGTCGAGTCCAGGCTGCCCGTAATGACCTGCGGGTCGGCCTCCTGGCAGACGAGGTCCGCCACCGTGCCCGTGTGGCCCGACAGCACGTGCACGTTGCTGCGCGTGCGCATGTCCCACACGCGGGCCGCGCCGTCGCGCCCGCCTGTGACGAGCACGTCGATCGTGGGGTGTAGTTTGAGGGCGTACACGCCCGAGAGGTGGCCGTGGTAGTGGCGGATCTGTAGGTTGAGTCACCGTCAGTATCTCAAAACGCCAAATAACACGAATAGCCGCAATGATTTCACTCACCACCTTGTTCGTCTCCAAGTCCCAACACTTCACCATCTTATCCTCGCCGCACGAAAACAGGTAGGGATGCCTCGGCGACACGGCCAGCCCGCGCACCGTTGAAATATGCCCAGTCAGCGTCAGCCGCAGCCGGCCCGACGCCAAATCCCAAATCTTGATGGTACGGTCCCCAGCGCCCGATGCAAACCACTGGTTGTTCGGTTCCACCGCCAGCGCCCGGACCCAACCCAGATGGCCGCTGATGACGCGCTGCAACTTCCATGGTGCGTGCCAGTCCGGCCGCGGCTGCGCCAACATGCTATCGGGTCGCCTGCTGAGAGACATGTTCTGTGGTTCGTTGCGTTGTTGGGTCTTTGCGCCGGCGCCGGCGCCGGTGGGTTTGTTGCGGGAGAGGACCAGAGCGCTGGAACCGACGCCTCCTGCTCCGCCGGCCGTCTTGCTCACTGGAATTCCCTCTATCAACTTGCGCGCGTGCTCTTCTGACTTGGACGGCGGTTCCTCGGCGGCTTTGGTCTTTCTCTTGCGCGGGCCGGCGGCGGGCAGCTTTTTGGCGATGTATTCGGGGAGGGTTTGGACATCGCTGTATTCGGCGTGAAGGCGGAGGGAGAGGGACGATTTCGTGATGTCGGGGTCTTCGGATGCCAGGCCGGGATCCAGCTTTATGCGCTTACGGGCAGATGGGTCTGAGGTTGTGTTGGCGTAGATGGATTTGGTCTTGCGAGCGTTGTCGCGGATGAGGGCCTCGAGCCTTGAGACATCGGCGCCATTGGCGGCTACTTCTGCTGTCATGGTGGTGGTAGCTAGGAATATCTCTCTGATTTCCGGGTTTTCGCTGTGGTGGTGTGGGAGTTGCTTCCTAATTTCAGCTACAACTTTGGCTGGCTCATTTGTTCGTCGCGTTCGATGATTGATGATGGTGTCGGCTCCACTTGCTGCAGCGCATCTTGGGGACCGAACTTCTTGAACGCCCCAAATAAATTTCAATGTGTGGCTGAAGCTCAAGCCACACACTCACAGTCTGCTTCCAGACCCAGACCCGCACAGTGCCAGGGCACGAATAAACCCTGTTGGGTGATCAGATCCCAGCATGCTTCAGTGAGGGTGGAAGGCATCACTTACACGCTCGGATCACTTTCATCCAAGCTGCACTATACAAAGGGCACTTCCGGAATATTCAAAACTGTGCTTTTATCGCCTTCTTTTCTCTCTCTCCCCGCCTTCTTTTTACCTCTCACTTTCACGTTCTACATCGACACCAAAAATGGAAGACACAACCGAGTCAAAGTACGCCATCCATGCGGCAGCCCGGGAAGGAAGGAGTGAGTACTTCATATGACCCGTGAATGCTAAAATGTATTATTTGTAACATACTTTATTAACTTTATTTAGTTGCGACTGTCGAGTCGCTCCTCCAAGTGTGTTCTGGTCTATCCTCTCGGGGCCTCACCCGCTCGAGTTTCTAGCCACTGACCCAGTCGCCTAGGCCAACCCGAAGCTTGCGCAGCTCAAAGACGATGATGGCAGGCTCCCGATTCACTGGGCAGTGTCATACAACCACCCAGAGATTGTCAGCCTGTTGATCAGCCAAAAGGGATTTGATCCAGATGCCGAGGTAGCTCTTTCATGAAGTCAAAGCATCAGAGTCACAGGATCGTGGTGGCTGATTAATAACAGGATGACAGCGGCTGGACACCCCTCATGATCGCCGCCAGTGTTAAGGACGCCGACAAGGTGGCTGACATTCTTCTCGCCCGGGGTGCAGATGTCAACCAGACAAGTAAGTCACCAACCTTTTCATCCTCGTTCATTCACTAATAATAATCCCCAGACAACAACGGCCAAGTACACACACTCCCCAAACTCAACCACCAAATCCAACACCCACTCCCTCTCTCTCCCCTTCCAACCTATACTCCCCCCACAACCTCCCCTCACCACCAACTCTAACCTCTTCCCCTCCCCCAACAGACATCGCTCCACTTCATCGCCTCCAAAACCAACCTCGACCTCGCCCGCAAGCTGCTCGAGGGCGGCGGCGCGCAGGCGGCCTCGACGCGCGTGCGTGACAAGCGCGGCCAGTACCCGCTCCACCGCGCCGCCGCCGTCGGCTCGGTGCCCATGCTCAACCTCCTGATCAAGCACCGCAGCCCCATCAACGCGACCGACTCGGCCGGCCAGACCGCTCTGCACCATGCGATTGCCGAGGGCCACGGTACGTTTGGTTCTCTGACAGACTTCTTTCCTTCCCTTCCTTGTTTGCGCTTGATCTGGGTGATATATGTTCTACTAGGAAGGGAGCCGAGCTGACAGGAGATGTGATGACTAGGTGATGCTGCCCTCGCGTTGTTGAAGGCGGGCGCCGAGGCGGGTAAGAAGGATGTGGATGGGTTTACGCCGTTGGAGTTGGCACCGGCGAAGGACGTACGTTACCTCTCCCATCCCCTCCATCTCAAAACGGGGCGTACAGTTGGGGTGGTCGTTGGTACTAATACGGAAACAGATCCGGGAATACATCTTACGGAAGGCCGAAGAGGAGGGGATTGAGTTGTAGGAGCTGCCGTTGAAAGCCGAGGGGGATAGGAGGGAGGGGGGTTTTGACGGGTGACATTTCGGCAGCGCAATGCGCAGTTCGGTCTCGATTCTGGTCCAGTTCATGGGATGGCAGGCAGCTTACCAGGATAGAGAGGAACAGGGAATAGCACAACCGGCTCCTGCTTGATGGTATCTCCTAGTCCGCTACATTCATTCCCCATGCAAAAAGTCGTGATCCATGAACGCTCCACCAAAAAAAAAAAAAAAAAAAAAAAAAAAAAAAAAAAAAAAAAAAAAAAAAAAAGAAAGCCGAATCCCAAGCCAACGCTTTCATTTGATAGTCCTCTCCACCAGATCCCGATACATAGCCTTGAAATCTCTCCACATCCGCCCTCAGCTCCTCCACCAACTCGCTCTTCTCCCCCAACAACTCCAACGTCGTCTCATACCGCTCCTTCATCACCGCCACCTCCCCCTCCAACACCTCGACCCTCTTCCCCGCCGCCCGCCCCCCCTCCGCCTCGCGCATCAGCGCGACCAGCTCAGCCCGCGCGTCGTCCCGCTGCCGCGAGATGCGCGCCAGCTCCTCGCGCGCCGCCACCTTCTCGCTCTCCAGCCGCCGGATCGCCGCGCTCATGCGCTCCACCAGCTGCACCGACGGGCCGGCGGCCACCGTCGACACCGACACCATGTCCTGCAGCACCTGCTGCGGCGACGCCGACCGCTCGCCGTTGTGCCCGTGATGGCCGTGGAGATGGCGGCCGCGGCTGGCGCGGCTGGTGGACGCGCCGCCCTCGAAGGCGTCCTCGCCTCGCTGCACTTCCATCATGTCGAGTGGGTGTTGGTGGTGGGCGGTGATGGAGGGGGCCGGGGCTTCCGAGGTCGGGCTGAACACGCCGAGCGGGCTGAAGACGCCGTTGCTGCCGCTGCCGCCGCCGCTGGGGTTGGAATTGATGGTGGGCCGGCTGGGCGGGTGCTGGGCCGAAGGGCGGCGGGAGAAGGACATGCGCGGCTCGGCGAGGGCGCCACCGCCGCCGCCGGCATCGCTGGTGCCCGGGGTCTTGCGGCCCTTGCTGGCGAGCGTCGTGATGCCGAGGAAGTCGGTGCTGAAGGTCCGCTGGGGGTTGGTTAGTTGTGGTGAGGCCGGTCGGCTGTCGGGCTTGAGGAACGAGCCGCCCGGGAGGCCCTCGAGCCAGGACCGAGGGCGTTCCGGGACGTCGCGCAGCTGGCGTTCTTCTTTTTCGGCTTCCCAAGCCTGTTTTTGCTTTTCAAACTCGGCTCTCGTGTTGGCGAGTGCCGACTCGGCTTCTTCGGCCCGTTTCTTGAGTGAGTCGAGCTGGCTTTGGTAGGATTTGACGTCTTCCTGGATGGTGGGAATCTTGGTCTTAGCCTCGTCCAGTTCCTCTTCCTGGCGCCTTACGCGAACAGCCTGCAGGGGATTAGCACTTCTGTCAACGGCTATAAAGAGGAACTTTACTCACTGCTTCCCGCGCTTTCCTCCGCATCTCTGACTCCCTCTGCAGCGCCTCATCCCGCTCTTTCTCCAGCCCCGTAATCCGTGCCAGCAGTGTTGTCTCAATGCCCTGCCAGTTCTCGCTCGCGATCGAGTACTGTGTCTGTAGCGTCTCGACCTGCCGAAGCAACTTGGCTTGCGAGTCCCCGGCGACACCTGACGACGCCTCTTCGGCCCGCGTGCGCATGGCCTCGAGCTTGCCCTCCATCACCTGCATCTCAGCCTTGAGTTCGAGTTCCAACACCCGCGCCCGCTCACTAGCCCTCTCGGCTTTCTCGCGCAACTCGGTAGCTTGCGCCTTGCCGCGGTCGGCGACGAGGGTTTTCTCAACTTTAAGCGCCGCGACTTCCTCCTCCAGGTCTGCTATCCGCCGCTTGTCTAGTTCCCGGGCTTGTTCGTTCGCCTTGGTATTCATGGCATCCGCCTGCTCGTTGGCTTTTTGAAGCCGGGAACGGAGCTCGGCGATGGTGCTGTCCTTGGAACGGATTTCTGGTCGCAGTGTGCTAACCTCCTTTTGTGTCTGGTCAAGTCGCCTGTGCAAATCCTCGTGTGCCTTCTCTAGCTCCTGGGTGCGACGTACTCGGCTTTGCAGGTCCTCGATTTCCTTGTCGGATTTGGTCCTGGCTATCCTGGCGGCCTCCAGCTCCTTCTCGTTCTTGGCCGCGTCTGTCCGCAGCTTCTTCACAAGGGCACGGTGCTTGTGGTCGGTGCTCGCCAAATTCTTGCCTTCTTCCATCAGCTGTACAATCTGCTGATCCTTTTCGGCCAGCTTCTTTTCAGCACTCCCCGCGGGCGCGGCCAATACCGCCTTCCTTGCTACGTCTGTAGCTTCCTTCGCAAGAAACTGAAGCTTGGCTTCCAGGGCATCTATGCGCTCGACATATTCGTGAATTTCCTGTTGGTGCTGTAGTTGTGCGTCGTTGGCCCTGCTTCCATTTTCCCTTTGCTCCTCGTCGCCGGCGTCGTCGGAGCCCGTCTTCGCACCATCTTGCGGTTCCGGGTCTGGGGACATGATGGGGATAGTGGTCGGGCTCGATGTTATCGAAGGCTGTATGTCTGCCGAATTCCTTGCGCCATTGGCCTCATCCCCCGACTCCCGAGCCCTTGATCCGCCATCGATTGAATCATCCCTCTCCGTTTTTTTTGGTGAACCAGCGTCGAGAGAGTTCCTTGATATATCTTGCGAACCGCGCGGGGAGGGGGTCTCCTTGGCAAACTCGTTCAAAGTCGGGCTCGGGCGGTCCACGCTGTCGGTTGAGTTGCGTGCCGGTGCATCGAGACTCTGGCGCGGACTCCCCTGGGAGGATATTGAGTTTCGAGCCGCTGCTTTGGCGGCCATGGCCCTCGCGAGTCTCTCCTGGAGGCGATCATTCGTGCGGGTGGACGAAGCAGCTCTCGAAGGACCTACAAGCAAACCGGGCCGTCAGAAACACGACGTTCAGGATTCTGGTTCCCGAGATGACATACCGGGACTCTGCTTAGCTGGCGACGCGGGAGTCGCCGGTTTTGTCTCCTTCTGTTGCGCTGTGCCGTTCTCGTCCTCGGCGAGAATGTTGTCAAGGCGGGCCTCGACTCCGGCGACGGCCTGGGAAAGAAAGGAGCCCCATCGAGCCGACATTGTTCAAATGACAAAGCTTTGCGTATGGCAGGCGATCGGGATGTTGTGACCATCAAGTGGAAGTTTGGGAGAATGGTTGATCGGGTTACATCTGATCCATCTGAGCGGCTCAAGATCGTGCGTGGCTATTGCGTGGTAGCCGGCCGGTTCGGTTCGGTCGTTGACTTCGTTCCGTTTCTTTCGTATCGTTACAGGCGTTATTTCGTTATGTTAAAGAGAAACTGCGTCGTCAGAGTTAAGAGGGTACAGGTCCGAGGGGCTGTTGCTGACTTGAGTTGGAAATTATTCCAATGTCAAGCTCTTGGCGTCGACAATTCAAGCCAAGTCTCGTATGCTTCGCGACAGGCAACCGTTTGGCGGGTGCACAGCCGAACGGCCACGCTCATTGTGGGGCCGATACTTCGGAGCTTGGCGCATATTATTCGAGCGGCATCCTGGCGTTCACCAAGGTCAAGAGAAGGTCAAATACAACCCACAACGTCGTCCGAATGCCTGCGCATTGAATCAACCAAGCCGTTGATAATCTCTCATGGTTCTCTCTCACACGCAACCTTCAGTGCATCCTCCATCATCCGTGTTGTTGTTTTTCCAGAATCTGGAGACCCTGGCTGTTCCTACCTGCACCGAGTGCTCTTAATGGTTTTCTAAACATGTTCAATGGGCTTGAGGTTCGGGCTATAGGGAAGCTGTGGTGTCCCCGAACTTAGATTACCCAGTGGGCCGACTTTCCAGCCCCTCCTCCGTCTTTCGCGTGTGCACCCCAGCATCATCTTGTAAAAAAGAAGGGAACAGGCAGGTAAAGGAGCCAAAGAATTTCTTCCAAATCTCAATCCCATTTACGACTGTTAGCCGAGGAGCCCTAGTGCCATGGAATCTGTGCCATGGCGGAACGACACAAGAAACAAGGCTAAAACGAGAGAGAGAAAAAAACGAACAGGGAAAGGGGAAGGGAATAGGAAATAGGGAAGGGAAAAGGAAAACAGAAAGAAACACTATGAGATTTAGATTAAACGCTCCCCTAATTGGCCGCCCACACTTACGGTTCACTGACGACGGATCGCTCGTTAGATGGCCTCCTCTATATGCCTACATGGAATACGTTTGTACGTATGGACAGGCCGGGAGCATTTGCTACTGTTACTATTCCTATTATTGTAACCATTGTTTTTGATGAGTGTGCTGCAGCTGTTGTTATTACCTACTGATGTTGCTGGTATAATTAGGTTGCTGATTATTGTTCAAGTAGTACTAGATTGAAAAGCGAGGGGCTGCTGTCCGGAGGCGAAACTCCAGGGCTCCGTCCGATGCCTTCGTCATTCAAGGCATTGAACGGTTGTCAGTGCAATAATTAGTGTCTTCCAAGCGTGAGGTAGAAAATACTCCGAAGAGAATTATCGTCACGACTTGGGAGCTAGGCAGGCCGTTCGAACAATAATGACATCAGACAAAGTCCATAATATACGGATGGTCCGGTTGTTTTCCTTGCACTCTTCGCCCTCTTCTCACCTTCCTCGCCCTGAAGTTCTCACCTCCCTCATCCTCAAGTACTCACCCCATATCTTCACAGCTCCCCCACACACCTTTTCCATCCTGAAATTCTGTTTCACCCCAGTTTCACGTCCCTTCAGTACCGAAATTATCACCAAACACATCATGCCTTCAATATCACTTGGGAATTGGGATGGATTGCCGAGAGAAATCCGTCTTCTCATCCTAGAAGCCCTAATGCAGGACGGATGCAAATTAAGCCACCTTGCCACGGTGTCGAGAGAATGGCAAAATGATCTCGAGCGCCACAACTTCGCCCGAATCAAACTAAGACCATCTCGCATCGGCGATTCCAGTTTGATGGTTCATCGCAACCGGGCTCTTGTTCGTTATATCTAGTTTTGCTTAGAGCTCGACGACTAAGATTACACCACATACGCGCCTTGCCACGAAACGCTCACAGACGATGAGTATGACAAGGCCCTCGCTATCAGCAATACACATCACTGTCCTATCACCGCGTCGTTCGAGAACCTGTTCTCGATGCTCGGTACATGGGAGCCCAGGGGCGATTTGATACTCGATATCAGTATTTACTCGCTTAGCGACTCGGAGCATTGGTTTAAATATCTGACATTTATGCCCGATGCATCCTCGGCGGAAATCTCAGCGGGTGGTGGTATAGAACACACGACACTAAAAAAAGTCTATCATGATCCTCAACATGGCTGGGTTGCTGGTTTTCGACGCTCCGCTCCGCCTACAAGCGCGATTGAGAAGGTCTTTTTTGAAGTTATGGAGGTGGAACCATTCGATAGCGCAGAGCAAGAGTGCCAATGGTGGGAGTAGCTTCCGTCAGTTTCGGTGGTAACTGGTTTGCTTTCCGGCAACAGAACCGGCGGAGATGGAAACCGCCGGCGCTTGCTCGTTTGTTTGCTCGTTTCCCCAGGCTTCAGGAAGTCCACTACGAGCCCTGGAGGAATGGGACAGAATGCAGGTCGATACGGATAAGTGTTAGTTTTACTGCGTACTACCCGCCCAGGTCTAGATTGTACGTACTTTATTGCTAACAACTTGCCTCCGTTACATAGACCTCGAATTTTTTTCAACTCTATCTAACGTTTCAACAGCCACATCAAGAGGCTTACGATTTTCGAGACCTTCAATCAGCAATACCTAGCTATCATGCAGTTATACCAGTTTGGGGTTGAGTTGAGGGGATGCCCCAGTTTTCGCAACCCAGCCCGGGCTGTTAATCGGATGGCCGCACTCGCCAGCCTCAAGCTTGAGCATCTCGCAGCATCTTTCATCGTGAATGCTGGGCGTTTCTTCGAAATTGAACCTGCCTTGGGCGTGGCCAAACCTACCCTCGCTTGTTCTTACTTCAAAAGCACTTGTGCCCGGCGAGGACCCGGCCAAGATTGAAGCTGTGCTCCAGGCAGCGGCGGCAGCGGCCATGAGGATGCCACGACTGGAAACAATGGAGATCTGGAATGGGGGGAGGGGGGTGGCGGCTCTCTTCCAGTATCAGGCGCTTCGCCGTCAAGAGCAAGCTAAGATTGTTTGGAGAGGCACATGGAGATTGGCACCGGAACGATGCGCAACCCAGGCTTGGGAAGCTGTCATGCATCAGTATGCCGGCCGGAAACTCGATTGGTTCAGGAACAGCTGGATGGAGCTGTCGTCAAGTCTCACGGTGATGCAATCCACATGTTGAGGCTTTCACATCCAGTCATTCGACCCATCTAGTTATGGCAAATTCAGAGGGAACAAAAAGCTTTGGAGGGGGTGCCTATTGTCGGGGACAGTTATTTACGAACCCCGGGTTTCTCCAGGAATATAGTTAATCAGTCACAAATAGCTCTCTCACTCGCCTATTAGGCCTTTTTCATCTTGATCACACCCGTTGGCGTCTGGAGAAGCTTGACGCAGTGAGCTTGTGCGTTCTCCGAGCCGTGGAGACCAACTCCGCCCCAAGATAACGCGACTTTCTGTACTGTCCGACTTGCAACAGGAGTTTAAAAGTGGGAGTTTTACTTGGTTCCTTCATTCATTCTTCCTCCCGGTTTTTTTATCTGTTCACCTAATTATCTCGATTCGTCGCCCAGGTAATTATTCTCGACATTCTACTTCTCATTTTCATCCAGATAAAAAGCGAATGCAATATGTTTATTGTTTATTATATTTAACAGAATGCTTGAATCTTTCTCAAGAAACCGAAACCAGGTAAAGGCACCTTTTCTTTGCCGCCAGTCGTTTCCACCCTGCCGGGTTGTCCGGGTCGTCCGGGCAGTCCGGCCGGCTTATGCTTTGGTACCTAAGCAATCCCCTTGCATGCATTTATCAGATGAAGTGCATTAGAAGGCATAAGTTTTCGGACTCCTGGCAGAGTAGGTCATCAGTTTATGACGCGCCTGAGCAGACAAAGGCTTTTTATAGGCGAATATTTTCGGTTATCCGACGTGTGAATTATTCGACAGCTTTTATCGAGCCAGTTTTTACAACACTCTTCATATTTTCAGCGCTATTTTAGATACGCCACCACCGCATCCGAAGCTCCCGTGTCTTTTGCGATAAAAAGAACCGCACGCATCACTGCCCCCCGGACCGGCGTATATCCCTCCCGACACTCATTTCTCCCAGCATCGGACCTAAACACGAAACAGTCCCGTCTCGTAAACCCTCTGCCGTCCCTTTCTTGCTACGCACGGCACGGGCTGCATCCCATAGGCCGGTCCGGACAAGACCGCCAAGCATGTCACTGGCATCCGCGCTCCAGCTCCCCTACAGGGAAGCCCGCGATGGCTTCTGGGGGGAGCAGACGTCCACCCTGAATTGGTGCGAAGAGGTACGATTTTTGACACCCACAGCTGCTTGCATGCATGCTGCGTAGTGTAAAAAGACAACCACAAAACAACAACCAGGAGTTAAGGTCACCCCGGCTCACACCGCCTCCAGGATTATAACATTAGCTTCTACTGCGCCGAGGTCGTCAACACGCTCACCAACCTGGTCTTCATGTGGCTCGGGATCAAGGGCCTGCGGAATGTGCTCGCCTACGCCCACTCAAAGGTTTTTGTCCTGGCCTTCCTCGGTTACATCGTAGTCGGCCTGGGGTCGATGGCCTTCCACACCACCTTGAAATGTGCGTTCTCCCCCCTGCCGTGCCAGCTACATAGTCTGTCCTTGGGTTGTCGTTGCTCTTGTTATTGCCGCTGTCGTTGTTGTACTTGTGCCTTTGTGTCTCGTTTCCCCGGCCTCCGTGAAACAGACCCCCGTTGTCTAACGCACTTTTCTTATCTTGCAGATGAGATGCAGCTCGCCGATGAGCTGCCCATGATATACACGGTGTGCATCATGGGCTTTGCCACGTTCTCGTATAGGCGGCCGGCGAAGGTGCAGGCCTTGATTGCGGCTGGGCTGGTTGGGCTGGCCGTTTTTATCACGGTTTGGATCACCCGCTACCTGTATCCTTTTCGGTATCGGCTGGCTGATATGCCCTTGTTTAGGTCTACTACCTCGTTGCCAAGGACCCGGTCTTCCACCAGGTTGCGTACGGCCTCCTCACTGCCTCCACCATCTTCCGCGGCTTCTACGTCATGGAAAAACACCTGCGGCCGAAGCTGAGCCAACGAAAACCGGCCGAGTGTGAGCGCTACATGCGCGGCATGTACACGCTGGCGCTGACTGGTCTGTACCACCCCCTTCCGGTAGCCCTGGTGTTTCGTCAAAGTACCACCCACTAACGCACGACCTGCTGGCAAGGCATCTTCATGTTCTTGGCCGGGTTTTTTCTCTGGAACATGGACAACATCTTCTGCCACCACCTGACCGCCACCAAGAAGCAAATCCTGCTTCCGTGGTCGGTGGTACTGGAGGGCCATGGATGGTGGCATATCCTGACCGGCTTAGGTAAGTTGCCTGTTTCCCCCTTGACCGTACGGTACCTATGACTCAAGGATGACGCTGACGTGGAAGCAGGCGGTATGTGAAACCTGCAAACACTAACTTGGGCGCGAGATGCTGACTCTTGATGTAGCCTATCACATGATTATCTGGAGGGTATGGCTGAACCGGTGTCTGGACGGCAGCGAAACGGAGTTCATGTTGGACTGGGTGCCTTTGCGGTCCGTCCCACAGGTCGTGCCCAGGCCCGGCGCCTTTGTGAATGGCAACGGCCAGCGCAAGACCCAGTAACCCGGTTTTGTCGCCTGCTGCTTAGACAGCCACAGCCCGGTTTGGATACAGTCGGGCATCAGAGTGGTGATACCTTACGCTGTGCCTGTGTTTTACATGAGTAAAATCCCGTAGAGAATAGACTTGGATCATTGGGTAGGTATCAGGTTGAGCTTGATGTTGGTTAATGCGAACTTTGAACCAATGTTGCGCTTTGGAGTTGACCCTTATTACCGAGTAAGTCAGTTCAGGTTGGCATCATTTAGGATTTATTATATTTATATTCTGCTTAACTAGTTGCTTTTGAAGTGTTGGGAAGGTAGTGTTGTGGACCGGCGTTGAGTGCTTCAGTCAGGTATTCGGACAGTGCGCATTATGATGTTTCGCACCGTAACATCCAGGCCCATCTAAATTTCGAACAGACTACCACCGCTCCGTTAAGACGAACACAGCATCGCCAGATCCGTACCATACACATCACAAGTGACAACTCCCGCTTTCTGCGTCACTACACACCGAATCCGAGTTTGAGCCCAGCCTTATTTCGAGTGCCATCTGTCAACATGTCAATATCCAACGAGGCGCTGCAGAAGGTGAGTGGAGCTCTGGAAATCAGGCATCAACCCCTCATCGCCGCTTGTGAATGGATGGCAGCACATTTCACATTTGATGCTGACCGACGCAACAGCTGGTGAGGGAGATCGAGTCGCAGGCTGCGGCCGCCCAGCAGCAGATCAGCCTGGTGCGCACCCAGACCGCGAGCAAGCAGCGCGAGATGCGCCTGGCCCAGTTGACGCGCAGCGAGATCGCAGCCCTGCCGTCCGATACAGCGGTCTATGAGGGCGTCGGGAAGATGTATGTTTCGGCCCCCACTCCCCGCGTTTTGTGAATTCGGCGGTTTGACCATTCCTTGGTCATCTAGGTTCGTCGCTATACCCGTTCCGACTCTGCAGGACAAGTTGGGCTCGCAGATTAAGGGGATCGAGACCGAGGTGGACTCGCTGGGCAAGCGGCTGCATTATTTGGAGACGACGGCCAAGAACAGTCAGGACCACATCGAAAAGATGTTGAGGGGTGCCGGGCAGCAGTGAGGGAAGTTCGGGGTCGAGCTCGGTATGGGTTTACATAATGGGCGGCTTGGGTGACGGGTTGGGGTTACAGGGCCCCAAAGCGAAGGCGTGGCCCGGCGCGTGCCGGAGGGGTGAATTAGTTGGGATGCAGACTCTGTCGTCCCTTTAAAGGTTGTAGCCCGCTCGGGTACCGCGGGATGGGGCGATGAATAAACCCATCTTGGTCTCCTCATCTCACCATAGAAATTGAAATGGGTGAACATCACATTCGGGCCTGAACCGCCAATACTGAGCTTTCAACGCCAAACTGTAACCACACTGTGCTCACAGGACAGCAGGTCGCTCACCCATGGACCCACTTAATGACGAGGGGGCAGGAGGGGCACAAATTGTGACGCCTGCGGGGTCTGGACGCATCTCGCTGCCAAGATAAGTTTCAGACAAGCGCCGTTTTCTCCTGCAGTCGTTCATCAGCTGGCCTTGACCAGTGACTTCAGCGACAGGCGCGCTTCATCGTTCCCGAGTGGTCGCAGTCAGGATCCCCAAATAACATGACACAGACTAGCTGAGCGCATGTATGACTCGCTGCATTTGTTCATGTGGGATTGGTGAAGATTATGGGCCATGACGGGAACGCAGCCTTGCGGACATCCCGCCGCTTGTCGTGGCTGCCCAATGGAGCCCCAGGCCGATCAGCATACCAACCGCCAACCACCCAAGGCCCGCGCCAACCCTGCTCGTTATCTCCATTGCAGATGCCAAGACGCCCCTCGCAGCCCCTCACCTAGCCCTATGCGCCCTCCCGTTTCTGGAGGCATGATGGCGATTCCCTCACGAACATGGAGAATACGTTCGCAGAGGAGACGGAAGACCGCAGCGCTTCCCCCGCCCCACTCAGCCCGGAAGGTACCTAGGCGCCAGAGAGAAGACAGAGTCTGAGAGTGGAACAATGGTGATTTGCTATCTTTCCCCTTCCTGAGGGACACAATGGCGCGGTTTCCTTGCACAAAGCTGAGCCGGGTTAACTAGGACTTTTCGGAAGTCGGTCCACGGCGTGGAAGTGGCAAATGGAGAGCGGAATTCGTGCTGCTGGGGGGGTTGCGCAACTTTGGCAACTGCTCTCTGCAATCTCACTAGCCTCCACTCTTTTGCTCAGCCGCGGACCGGCACTGGCCGCGTTGGCGACTCTGCCGCTGACCTGCACCTTCCTCCACCCCAGGCCCCGGGAGAATCTGTATGCCCCCTCCTTCCGCCCACCCCGGTGCGGTCTTGGGCCAACCAACAACGGCCACCGTGGGAGAAATGCGTGCTCCCACCCTCTCCAGAAAGGGATCAGTACATCGTCTCGGGCTGGTTCCGTGTGGCACACGACCGCTAGGCTGCCATCATGCGTTGGTTCCCAATACCTTTCGCCTGGCAAAAGACACGGCGCTCTCCCCCATGTTCCGCACTGTACGGGCTTGGGGGAGCTCTCCCCCCCTCCTGATTTGTTGTGTGTCCGCGGCTCATGCGGCCGCCCTCATGCTTCAGTAGCCGGGGCTTGGGGGGTGGGCATCGTGCTCGAGTCTTCCCTGCTTCCCTGACCGCTGCAGCGCCGAATAAGTGGTGGGTCACACCCCCGCTCGGCTGGGGGCTGACAATCCTCCTGACCCCTCTGCCACTGAAGACATCTTCCCTCTGTTCTCAATTCTGCTTCTGAAATCTCCTCCTTCTCACACAAACGAGTTGGGGAAATCGCGTTGAGCGACTCGAGATTCTACGCCCGAATCTCGTCTAAACTTGGGAGGAGCGTCGCATCTCACCCAGGCCCCCCAAACGGATACGTTTTACAAAGATAAGCTGAGCGTGGCCTAGCCTCGTCGTCTCCAACATGTCGAGCTACAGCGACGATTCGAGTCACTCGACCGAGATCAGAATACGGCGCGACCACCACCACCACCGCGATCCGTCCCCCTTCCACCGGGTTCCTCCCGGCCCGCCCCCGCCTCACCGCGGCCCACCGCCGCACTTCATCCAGACCGTGACTCGGGATGTACGGGACCACCGGCCTACAGGCTACTATCACGCGCCCGGCTCTCGTCGACCGGACGAGCGTATGACCATCGTTCATACCCGCTCCCGATCGAGAGAGCGCAGATCCCCCCCGGTCCGTACTGGGCCGATGCCCGTGCCTCCGCCCCAGCCGCCCACAGCTCCTCCTCAGGTGATCATCAACCAGCCGTTTGTTGATCGTCGCCGGGCCGAGCGGGACCGGAGTTCGGATTCTTCCTCGGACGACTCATCCCGTGGATCCTCCCGGCGTCATCGACGGCGCCACAGGCACCACCGGTCACACAGCCATGTCCGCAGCCGGTCGTCCAGCACCCACAGCAACATCGAGGACGCCAGGAATCAGTGGAAGCTGCAGAGCGCAAATGAGCAGCTCGCCCTCCTCCGGCTCGAGGCCCAAAAGAGGGACGAGCAGCGCCAGATGGAGCGGTACTCCAGAGAGCAGGCTGAGCTGGCGCAGTCGCGCGCCGAGTTGGAGATGCGGCAACGAAGGGAGGAAGACGAGCTCCGCCACGACCGTTACCGTGACGAGTATGAGCTGGAGCACCTCAAGCGCGAGATCGCCCGCATCCGGCGCCAGGAGGAGGACCTAAAGGCCGAGCACGCCCGCGAGGAGCAAGCCAAGTTCATCAAGGACAGCGACGAGCTGGCGCGGTACAAGCGCGACCAGGAGGAGGCCAGGCGCGCAAAGCAGGCCGAGGCGGAGACCGAGTACCAGAAGCAAAAGGCCGAGCTAGAGCGCCGGATACGCGACGAAGAAGAGGCCAAACGCGATAAGGCGGTCAAGGAGGAGACCAAGGCCAAGGCGGCGCTCGCCGAGCTGGAGCGCATCCATGCGGAGCGGGAGCGCAAGGAGGAAGAAGACCGGATCCGGCGTGAAATTGAGCTTAAGAAGCTCGAAGAGGAGAAAAAGGCCGCCGAGGAGGCCAAGCGCAGGGAGAAGGAGGCCGAGGAGGTCATTGCCGCGTATAAAGCTAAGGAGATGGAGCGCGCCCAGAAAGAGAAGGAGGAGAAGGAGGCACGCGACAAGGAGCTGCAGCGCATCATCCAGGAGCGCCTGATCAACTCTGGACTTGACGAGAAGGAGATCGAGGCCGTCATGAAGAACGAGAAGATCAAACGGGAGACTAAAGAGAAGAAGGAGGAGGAGGAGGAAAAGCAGATCGCCCGCCCGACTTACACTCGCATGTCGCTCCGGTACCTGGACATCGAGACCCTCCTCCATCACAAGATCGACTTTGACATGGACCCGGTAAGTCTTTTTATGCAGCCTGGGCTAACCATAATACCCTAAGAACCCCTCCACTAACCCATCTCCGTGTCGGCAGGAACCGGGCTACGTCATCATCAAGCGCTGGGTGCCCGAGTGGGAGCAGACGCTGCTGTGGGAGCACACACGGCGGCGGCGCGGCGACGGAAAGGTCATGCTCGAGGTAGAGGACCGCCATCACCACCACCACCGCCACCACTCGACCGGCTACGAATTTGTTCGCGCCAAGTCCAAGTCGCGCCACCGCAGCAAGTCGCCCGGCCTGCTCATGTACTTGGCTGGTGGCCGGCCGCGCTAAGCGGGTGTTTGCGACTCCGCGCCGCGCTGCGCTTGTCGGTGTCGTTCTGTGATGGATACCCTTCTTCTCTGGCGACTTCTCTGGGGGTGAGTTGCTAGCTATATCATTTCTGTTTTCCTTTCTTTTTGTTTCCTCTCTTTTGGTTACACAAGGTGGGAAAAGGCCGGGCCGGGGAAGCCTGAGGCGGGGGCGGGGCCTGGGGAGAGCAGACAACGCTACGCATGAGGAACGATAAGATGAGCTATGATTTGTGGTTTACGTTTGCGCGAGTCGAGATGGTTTTGGTATTTTATCTTTTGGTTTTGTTTGGTCGTCTATTCCCACCTCCGTTCTCGCGCCATCTGGCCGTCTTTGAAAGAAGAGTGTTCCCAGCCTTGCCAGGCTTGTTGTGTTTCTCTTCCCTTTTCCGACTCATGTTGCCGTTGAGCGATACGGTCCGTCCTCTAGAGTGAGCCGGGGTTGGAATATGGTGCCCTAGTGGAACAGGTGTCGTATAGTACAATATAGTACACTCTAACTAAACCCAAAACCAATCCTCTTGCATCATCCAACCCAGCCCAAACGCCGCCGTCATGCCCAGCTATGCAAACAGCCAACGCCCGCCCATCATCCCATCTCATACCATCCCATCTCTTCCCATCCTATCCTATCCCACCCCCCATACGTCCCTCTCTCACCATCTCAAATATCCACCCACCTACCCCATCCCATCCCCAATCACAACCTCTCCCTCGCCGCCCCGGCCCGCCACCCAGCCTCGGCCCTCCTTATCAACTCCTCGTACACGGTCCACGCCAGCGCCGAGCTGACCGCCTTGCGGCTCATGCGCAGCGCCAACCCGTCCCACAGCGCCCGCACCCCTTCCTCCCCGACCATCCGCCGCGCCCCGGACACCATGTTGCGGTACCGCCCCGGCTGCAGCTGGATGCGCGTCTTGACCGCGTCGAAGGGGTTGGACACCACGCTGCAGATCACGCCGGCGAGGACGCCTGAGGCGAAGTTGATGCTGGCGGCGTGTTGGAGACCCATGGGCCCGTTTTGGGTGGAATTTGTGGTGGTGGTGGTGGTGGTGGTGGGGAAGAGCTGGCTGAGGCGTTTCTTGCCCTGCTCGTAGAAGAGGACGTAGAGCCCCGCGTAGGGCGCGTCGCGCACGGCGGTCGCGCCGTACCCGGCGAAGAAGCCCCGTGCGCCTTCGTGGGCGGCGATGTCGCGCGCGGCGGAGGCCAGGGAGGTGTAGTTGTAGAGGGTGCTCTCGTAGCGGACTTTGAGCACGGTGAGGGGCATGAGGATGAGCCCGGCGAGGGAGCGGGCGGCGGCGCCTGCGAGGAGGTTGGAGGTGTTGGAGAGTTTGGGGAGGGAGGAGGAGGAGGAGGAGGTGGTGGTGGAGGAGGAGGTTGTTGTGCTGCTGCTGCTGGAGGGTAGTGGGGAGATGCGCGCGGCGCTCTGGCGGATGGCGTTCAGCGAGGTGAAGTAGATGGCGGAGCCGAAGCCCGTGCGCAGAGCCGAGGGCACGGCGCCGCGCCAGAGCGCCGGGAGCAGGCGCGGCGCCGCCCGGATGTCGGCTATGGCGGCGGAGAGCGAGTGCGCCCCCGACTGCTGTACTCGCGTCTTGAGGAGGTCGATCGGCTGGAGGAGGACGGCCGAGAGCACGCCGGAGCCGAGGCCGGCTGCGAAGTGGAAGGCTGTGTGTGGAGGGGGGAGTGTTAGCGGGGTCTGCGGACTGGTTGTGTGGATATGGGGCGGGGAAGTGAAGATAGGGTAGCCGTACTCGACTTCGAAAGCGCCGTGCGGGAGCCATCGGACATTGCGGCGTCGGGTCTCTTTGTCGAGGTGTGTCTTGAAGTGTTCGTCGGTGTGTGGTGGTTTCAGGCACCTTTGGTGGGGTGTCGACCGGAGGAGATTTCTCGTTCAGAGATTGGATTGGTGTGTCTGAGATACGGGCCGGCCATTCTCAACACAGCTCAAGAAGGGGGCTGCCCATATTGAGTCAGGCTGGGGGAAAAGAGTCGTTCTTGCTGCAAGGTACCTTAGTGTTTGGGTTAAAAAGTTGGGGCAGGACAGGTGAGGAGCTCTAGCAGCAGTGGGCAGGCATGCATTGGCCTATGACGGCATGTCAATTCTGCTCTTGGCGGACCCGGATCTGCCGGCTTAACCCGAGCGGACCGGCGCCGGGGACCCAAACAGCCAACCAGGGGCGGGGTCGGGCAGGAATACAGACGAACCATCCCGATATTGCCCTGTTGAGACTTGAGTCATTGTGCTCGTGATCGTTTGAATTTATTGTGTAAACTTAGAAACACCATCTCCTTGTAACCAAGAACTGTGTATATACCATTGCTATGTAACCAACCCGCTAATCAAACACTGCCGCTATCAACTCCCCCTCCTCTGATCCCCTACAATCGACTCCAGTCGCCCAGCCAAAGCCCGGTGCCTCTTTACAACCTCAACCCACTCATCCTCCGCCTCGGGCCCTACATCCAGCGTAGCAAGGAACAGCCCAAAATCACCGCCCAGCCGCCCTAGACTCCCCGCACAGTACAGCACCTGCGTAAGCAGACTGTCCCTAGCCGCCTGGTCCCTCACGGTAGGCAGATACACCCGCAGCGTCTCCAGCAGCATGTCCACCAAGTAGAGCGGAAACGTCGCCAGGGCCGAAGGCATCGGTTCCAGCGGGTCACTGCCACCACCCTGCGACGTAGCAGTAGTAGTAGCACCACCGACACCGCCATCACCAACACCACCACTCGTAGCCGGCCCATCACTCGTCACCGCCGCGGTCGCGGGGAAGATACTCCGAAACATGGAGACGATGGCGAAGCTCTGCTCGCGGAAGATCTCGAGGTAGCGCTTGAGGTAGCGCTCCGTCTGCTGGCCGCCCGACCAGGCGTTGCCGCTGCCGAGGGCCCGCTGGCGCGCCTGTTCCTGGTCGGCCAGCTCGCGCAGCGGCTCCAGCGCCTCGAGCATCACCATGAGCGTCGCGAGGCGGCAGACCAGGAAGAGCGCGCCTAGAACGCGCTCTTGGGATTCGCGTCCTTTGGCGTGGGCGGAGGGTTGGATGATGGTGGTGGTGGTGGTGGGTGAGGAGGAGGATGAGGAGGCGGCTTCGAGATCGGGGAGGACTCGGCGTAGCCAGCTGATGGTTCGTAGTGAGGCGGCTAGCTTGAGGCCCGGCGCTTTGAGGGAGAGGATGAGATTGGCGGCCATGGTGCGCATGGCTTCGTCGGCTTGGGTGGATATTGACTCCATGAGGGGCGAGTTTAAGTAAATGGAGTGTAGGCGCCGAATGTGCCCGTTCAAGTCCAAGGCGGAGGAGTAGTTGACCGGCGCTGTCGTGATGGCGGAGGATAACAAAGTCGGCAACTCGAGCACATCGACCAGGCGCTCGACATTGCGTGAGAGGAGAAGTGCCTTTTTGCGACGTGCTAGCACCTCATTGTCGCTGCTCTTGTTGTAGGTCGTCGAGAAGCGCACTGCTTCGCTATCAAGCCTGGGAATCGCATTGCGTAGCTCGGCAGTGCTCGCCGCGAGTGCGGGCAATGTGGTGCGAAGTGTTGCATGGTGTGATGCAGACTCGATGATCTGCTTGTGTGATTTCTTAGAGAGGGCTTGCAATGACAGCAGCAGCCCATGTGATGATTGCGAGAGTGCTTGCGGTTCCGATGACGCGAGTGATGAAAGCGGTTGTGATGCTAATGTTGTGAGATATTCTAGCGAGCTTGGGTCGGCCAGAGCCCGGGACGATGATGGCCCTGGTGGCGAAAGTAGTTCATACAGACTGTCGGCCATTTCGGGCGTTGTTTGGTGCCGGTGACCTGAGTTGAGTAACGGGATGGCCAGCTTGAAGCGTCGGTCTTGGCTCTGAGACGAATGAGGGTAATGTAATTACATACATGCATACCTGTACATACAATACCTTGCCATATGCGTTACATGACCCGATCTAACGATGTCGTTCTCGATTTCTAGACGACATTTCTCAAAAAGAAATTCAAGATAGATACAAGTTAGGTAAAGGGATCGCGCTTTACTCTGGGACCAGCCCTTCAAAATTGAAAAGAGGCGATCATTGATAAAACTTTAGGTACCTTCCCAATATCTATGCCCCGGGCTTCCATTACACTGAAATTACTCCTCGACGACCCCACAAAGCTTCGTTGTTGAAAACCCGTGGCTTCCTCCATTGCTTCAACCTTCGACCTTCAACCAAACATGGACTCAAATATGTTTCACTTTCCGACTCAAAGGTCCAACTCATCTCTTCAACAATTTTGCTATCAGTTGCTGCTATTGGACTCGATATCTTCCCATTGCTGCCTCTTCCGCCTCCCAACATCGACGTTCAGATATGGACGCTGTCCCCGACGTCCCCGGGGTCGCCCGCGAACAAGATAACCTAATTTTATGGCTGAAGTCCTGGTCCGGCTAGACTCCGACGCACCATCAGCCCCGATCATTTTGACCTTGTTTTTGTTTCGTTTTTTCCCTTTCGGTGTCTCGAGTGTCGGTGTCGACGGGACCGCCACGACACTAGCCAGCCCAGACAGCAGCACGCCAACTTTTCCCAGCCAATACAATAGCATGGCGGTGACGCCCAGCCATACCATGCCCCCTCCGACCTTCGACTTGCTCTTATCCGTCTTTTGTTTCCAGCCCTTCTGGCCAGTGTCAGAGGCAGGTTCACTCTCGCCTTCTCCCACCTGCGTGGGCACCGCCGAGTCCACTAGCGTTACCGAGCTTGAGGACTCGGAGATTGCTTCGTGTTCAGCCGCCGGGGGTGCCGACGTTGAGAGAGGCGGAGGGCGGGGCGGGTGAGAAGGGTGATATGCGAAGCCAGCCGCGGCCATGCTCAGTTCCTCCAGGGTCAACCCGGGGAGGTGCTGCACGGGATTCCCCATCATGGATGTCTCACCTGTGCTTCCCGAGGGCCGGGGTTCCAGGCACGGCCTTGTGAGCGGATGGATTTGCGGAACCTGTGGGTTATCCGGCGGTGGTTGAACTGTCAAAGTTGGCGTAACCGGGTTCGTGACGGCGGGGTGATAGCTCGCAGCCAACGCGTCGGGAATCTCGACTGGGACCTTGGTCATGTTTGCGTACCCCATCGCCTCATGCAAATCGCGGGCAACCTCATCCAACCGCAAGGGGCACGAGTACCCTTCCGCCCACTCGATCTTGGTCACAATTTCCTGGTCCTTGCTTCCTTTCTCTCCAAACTTCAACTTGTTTTTGATCTTGTCCGAAAGTTTGGCGAGTTTGCCGCTGACGTGGACTGTCATGTAGAATCTCGTCGCGTTATGCTCCAAGGCGAATGCTGTGTGGAAGAGGTTGCTGTGTGTCGGCTGCCACTCCAGCGAATTCTCCTTGAGCTCCCATCGCAAGCGGTTATACCATATGCTCTCCTTGGTGGATGAGATATACCCAGAGAAATCCCACCGTCCCCGCGTTTGAACGATCTTCTCCCTGTTCATACCAAGACCGCCCGCACCATAGCCAAACAACTGCACCTCCGGGGTGCGATTTTGTATCTTTTTGGTCTGCACGAAGGATTCTGGGCCCCGGACGCACTTGGGGCCATAGTGGTCGGTAAACTTGACTGGACAAGCAGAGCGGTGCTGGATCCGAGCTTCCTCGCCGTCGTCTTCCGTCAGGGTTACTGTAATGGTCGCCGACTCCAATCTGCAGTCCGCTGGCTGGCTGAAATCGAGGTCCAGGTAAATGATGCCGCCCGGGTTCTTCGACTCTCCGATGACGCCCCAATGGGATTTGGTAAACATGAAGCGACAATCGATCTCAACCTTGCCAATGCTCCCCCGACCTGCGCGCATATGCGTCGAGGCTATATTGTCGAATCGTTTGTAATCACGCCGCCCATATTTACTACGCACTTTGGATAGTAGAGCAGGTCGAGTGTTCTGTCCATCCATTGTCGAAGGTGGCCTCCAGCAGCCGACTCTGGATTTGGGCGCACAATGCCTGGGTCAGCTGAGGCGTCCAAGGACCCGGCCCCAGAGTGCGGCAGCTGAGAGGAAATATTATTTGAAGCAAGCGAGGGCGGGGCTGCGCGCGAACCCCTCGGTCAGCTGCATTTAAGGCCGCCGACACTGCCCCCATTAGCTGTATCTAACTTGGTTCCTCGGGGCCGCAAGAATGCACGATTGGCTCATCCTGCAGCTTTGATTCGTCGGTGAACCTGCACGAAACCCGACTCGAACGAAACCCTTGGCAAGGCTCTCGCGATGAGGAAGGCCATCGACGGGGACTGCGCCCCTCGCGGTCTTGACGAGTCCATCCTCACATACTTCTTTCAGGTTTCTCTTAAGCTAGAAGCTCGTGGCCGCCCACGTTGTCTCTGGCATGGGACAAATTTAATTAAGGAATCGCTTCATGATGAGTAGCTACACTGGTTCTGACTATCGAAACGATGAAGAGGATGACTCGACTAGTCTCGTCAGGGAAGAGACTCCACGGCAAAGAAGAAGAAGATCGGATGGAGATGGCGCCGATGTTAGCCAGCCCACACTCTCTAATCCCTATTCTAATCAATATCCCCCCTGGCTTGTACCGAGACACCAACCTCGGGGAAATTTTTGGGAGCAAATCGACGCTAGCGAACAACAAGCCGGGAAATCACTCGTCCCAGGGCGAAGGCCATGGGCTCCTAATATAGGGCAGCCGTACGACTTAGGTTCTAAAAGGCTCGAAGGCCCAGCCGCCACTGCCGCCGACCCTGTCGTCGCCGCGGGGGGCGATCACGGTGTCAAGGCGGACCCCGAGCCTCCTCGGTCGACGTATTTCCCGCACACCAGACCGGTGGCGGCGGGAGAGCCCGACAAGGGCCCTCCAGGAGAGCTTTTTGGGAAAAGGGAGATCCCCGGTGCTGCTACCACGCGAGTCGATCTTGTTCATGATCCATCTCGGGCAAACAAGGACATGTCGATTAGCATCGCACTGGATGCCGAAGAGGACTGGGATGATGACCTGGAAGAGTTCTGTCGTCTGAGAAGGCTCGGCCTGATTAAAGAAGCAAAGGAACAGTTTTGGTCGGCACTGGGGCACGTCAATACCATGCCCTATATCCGGGTCCAGTATGCAGAGATGCTCCAGACATCCGGGGACTTCAAAGGCTTCCAGGATCTCGACGTCCTCCCGGAGTTTCCCCCAGGCCCGGCAGAGGAAACCCCCGATGATCGCAACCGTGGCAAGCTGGTCGCCAATCATGCGCTCCTCGACCTTCTCTCACAACGACCTACCGACGACTACCTGACTTCTGCATGGAGGCTTGTACGCCGTACCCTGAAAGCTCTCGCCACAGAATCAACGGTCGGCTCTACAGAAGTACGTTATGAGTGAAAAGTGCGATTCCTCGACCATATCTAATATGTTGCCTCCCAGATCCAACTGATTGTTTTGTGCCTCCGCGTCCTGGACTACCTGAAAACCTGCACCCATGAGACCGTCGTTGGGCCGGCCATAGTCTACGCAAGCCGGCTGTTTAACTGGCGAAAGCTCTACCACGACCTTGTCGGCGAAAGTTGCGTCTGGGATTTCAAGGATCTCTTCTTTGCGTCAGTCTCAACCTTTGGCTGGCAAGAGACGCTGGTGCAGTTTTTCGAAACGGCTTATTTCCCCCGCGCACTGGACTCTATCATCCAAGACTGGACCCGTCCCTTTTACGACGAAGCGTCTTCAATGGGCCTCCTCGACTTGTTCACTTCCCTGATCCTCAAGGACCATGGCAACAACATGAAGGCCCGTAACACATTGTTGCTTCATCATGCCAAGACCATGGCAGAATCTGCGGAACACAATGACCCGGAGCTCATGAAGACCAGGCCGTTCGTTCAGTGGTTGCTGGCCAAGTCCGTGATCGAAATGGGCGATCCCCCGGAACGACCAGATGGGGTGCGCATGGAGCACTTCAACGGGCTGAAGCTCAACCAGGGAGGCGGTGTCAATTTGCCAATATACGTCCCAAGCCGGCACACCAGGAAACCTGACTGGGATATGTTTTTCTCACGATCCACACCCGCACAACGACGTGTTGTCGAGGTCGCTGTCAGGGCGGCGGAACAGCTTGGCGATTACAACCTACAGGCTGAGGCCTTGAAACTACTTATCCTTCAGTCTCAGGATCCGAAACAATGGATGGCTGCGCTTGCGCAACTCCAACTAGAAACCCAAGGAGACAAGGAGGGCTACCTTACAACATGTCTGTCCAGATACCTGATTGCCACCGACCCAGCGGAGGAAGCAACCCTTCTCAAAGACCTCGAGAAGCCCGGCGGACCAGGAAATGCACTCTACTTCGAGCAGTGCGAGAACGCATCCTTGACCTGGGCTTGGAGCATGGTCCGGGTGCTCCTCACGACGGCACATGGCGATGATAGTTCGATTGCTACCGGCGCCACGGAGCCGTCGCCATTCTTAACTCAGGGTTTCAGCCTGGACGGCTCAAAACTACCGCCCTATGTTGCAGAATTCGCTCGCGTAGAACTCGGTATGCTCGTTTCAGAATCCATGAGCCCGTTGTCTTTGGCCGATCTCGACTCAACAAGTGCAGGTGAGGTCAATGGGGGGCCAGAACTGCCCGACCAGCGCTACGGGACCGTTTTACTCGTGCAATAGCGGAATCAACCAGCAGGATCCTCAAAACATAGCACTGAATGGACCGGCCGGGCTGGATGGTGACCCTGCAACTGCGGATCACGCACCGCTTCTCTTGGTTCCCGTCCCGCCCTCCGCACCGCCTCCATGGGACCCCTGGAACTACTACAACGACCAACAACCAAACCCTCTGGCGCAGGGCGTAACGCCGGCCCTGGAAGTGAAGGGCTGGCCGAAGACGTGGTATGAGGATGCCAAACAATACGGGCCGAGTATACCACAGCGCCTCGTAGAGAGCACGGAATTGGAGTCGGATTCGGACGACTGGGACTCGAATATCACTGGAAGGAACCGGAGGATTTCCGTACCGTCGCCGGGCTCGGGGTTGGAGGCCGGTCGTCGGGTATTCAGCAAGCCTCAAAAGTCTAGATTTATACAGACGTTCTGGGAGAGAGACAGGTCAAGGGAGAGGGACTGGTTGAGGTTTAAGGAAGAAGAGCGTATGGACAAGCGGTTGGGCGACGACAAGAAGCTAAGCGGCATTAGATTGGAGCGTTGGCGGGGAGAGAAAGAGACGTACGAGGGAGCACGGGGCCGAGCGGTAGTCGAGGACGGCTCAAATGACGCCAAACGCGAACGGAATGGGGTCAAAACGGCACAAAAGACTACCTTCAGTAAAGGCAACGGGGGGCAAAAGACAAGAGGATGGCGTACACCACCCGCACCACCTCCACGCTCTCTCCACAATCCACACTTCACAAGTGAATTCAGAGACCGCCAAGAAGAAGAAAGTATCTCGACAGAGCTTGATAGTAGGGATGGCGGGTATGTCAGTGGTGAGCCTGATGGCTCGGGACAGGGCATGCGCATCACCATGAAGGACGGGGTGACAAAGCTCTACTTCCCTAGCAGCCATCCAGACGGCAGCGGAACGACAATGGTGTTTAACGGCAAACACCAACGCAGATCTAACGTCCGCGTTGTAGGAAAGGATGGTTCTCATGTCTCCGTTGCAGGAAAGGATAGTGACTCTGAGACCATCGCGCCGCATCGCATTCGGCGTCCCCGGCCTGACCGAAGGAAATCAGAGTCCATTACAAGGACAGTTCCGATCGCGATGGGCTCGTCAAGCGAGTCCGGCATCGGCCGGGGATGGTACAAATCCAAAAAGGAGAAGCAGGTCAGATTCAATGAGCGACAAAAATCTCCTTATGCCGCCGAAGTCAAAACGGAAGATGAAGCCGACCGTCAAGAAGAAAGAGAGTATGGCGAAACAGACCCGCTCACACCACCGCCGCCACCACCACCACCGCCAACGTCGTCGGAACCGAAACCGGGCCCAGAGCTTGCGAACGCCGTTGTCAACGATACACAACCTCCCACCACCAAGGAGGAGAAAAGTCAGACGGCGACTGCAACGGCGATAACGGCTGTGCAAGCCGGCGCGTCAACGCTACCAGTAGCGGCAGCAGAGTCGAGACCGAAACCCGCGACAAAACTGGCAGCGGAACCAGCAACGGAACCAACAGCAGAGCCTGAAGCGCCGCTCCCGCCAACGATAACATGGACTGAGCCAGCAACGGCGCCAGCGGAACCAACAGCTACTGCAACCACGCAACAGACAGAGCCCGAGGACCCATGGGCCGATTTCTGGACAGCCAACGCCGCCTCCAAGAAGAAGAAAAGCCGGGGGACTCGGTCAAAGGCGAAGCTAAAACCAAAGCTCGCCACTGCCGACGATGACGATGACATGTTGTGGGCCCCGTTCTACAAAGACAGCGGGTCCAACAAACAGCCGGCGCAAGATCCCAACAACGAGACCGCAGCGGAACTCCCGGCCCCGGAAACAGAACCGCAACCGATCCCCGCCTCAGACCCGGGCGCATCCACAACGGCCGCACAACAACAACAGCCGGCCACCGTAACAGGTTGGGACACGGCGGCGAACGCCAGCGGGTGGGGCTCGACCTGGGACTGGGGGTGGCCGACCGACACTGCGGCGTCAGCCTGGGAGCGGATGCCGGCGGTGGGAGACGGGGATGTGACGGCGGTGGTGGATGAGGGGGCGGAGGTGGTGGATGAGAGAGCGGAGTCGGAGTTGGTTGTAGGGGAGGGTAAAAGTGGGGAGATAGTGAAGATGATACAGGAGGAAGGGGTTCAGGAGGGGGAGGCGGGGAGGGTTGAGGAGGGGGAAAGGGCTCGGGTAGAGGAGTTGGTGCGGCAGGAAGAGTCCTTGCTGGAGGAGGTGCGGTGGGAGTGGGAAAGGGCTCAGATGGAAGAGCGGATGCGACGGGAGGAGTCTTTGCTGGAGGAGGAAAAGCTGGAGAAAGCAAAGCTGGAGGAGGTGCGACGGGAGTGGTAAAGGGCTCATATAGAAGAGCTGATACGACAGGAGGAGTCTTTGCAGGAGGAGGACAAGCTGGAGGAGTTGAGGCGGGAGGAGAAAAGACGGCAGGAGGAAAGGCGGGGAGAGGAAAGACGGGAGGAGGAAAGGTGGGAGGGGGTCAGGCGAGAGACCGAGTCATTGCGGGAGAAGTTGAGTCGGGAGGAGGAAAGGGTTCTGAAGAAGGCGGGGACTCGGAGAGAGGAGTCAACGCCGGTGCGGGAGAGGATTCGGGAGCAAGAGGAGGCCGGGGGTTGGTTTGATGAACTTGGGCGGCCTTTTAGTGAGACGTTAGTGGGGGATGCCGGTGAGGTAGACCAGCAGGGCTGAAGGGACGGGGGGTGCAAAGGGGAAAGAGAAGGAATTTGGAAGGAGGGTGGAAAAGAAAGGGGCCGAGGGTGGTGGAGTGGTAGAGGCTCAACGGGATGAGGGGAAGGGAAGGCATAAGAGAGCGAAGGGCGGCGATGAGGGTCCGGTATATGGTGGGGTGCCCTTTCTCGTGCCGGATGCGCCGCGGCATGCAACTAGGCTTGACTGAATCGCCGGACTTGAAGAATGTATCAGAATCGAAGAAGGGATTTAAGTGATAAGTTGGATGGGTCGGGGATGGGGGCTGGGACGGATAAGGACAAGATGTTACTCCTATGATGGACTTCATTCAAGGCGTGTTTTAAAGGATGCGGCGACCAAATGAGAGTTGGTTACCTTTAGTATAAATAATGCTGTCTACTTCGGTTCTTAGAGGACTACTTACTCCCGCTCTTTGTCAAGGACGGAAAGGGCCCATCGATGGTTATTCCGTCAAACGTGTTGGCCTCGGGCAGTTGTATTGGTCGGATGATACATACGTCACCAACATCAACGATGGGTATCAGCCCATACAGTAGGTAGTGTAGGTACTTGATGGGTGGGGGCCATAGTCGAGTGTTGTTGGGACTCGGGATGATGACTGCATCATTTGGTATGGACGGAAGGAAACCTTTCAGAATTGCATGTGACACCTTTTGCGTTCAAGCATGTCAATAGATGATCGATGCTTCGTGGAAGGCGGCGTTCGGTGCTGCGACCCCGACTAACCCCGCATCCGCCCCCTGCCTCGTGGATTCTCAGTGGCTGGCTCAGCTGACAGGGTAGCCTTGGCAGATGCCAAGATCTTCCAGATCCCAACAAAAACGCAAAAACGGGTGTTGCCTTTGGGGCCCGAGCTCCCTCCAGTCCCCACTCCGCCTGGCCTGCAGCCTGGAGCTCCGATTCGAGCAGCCCACGAATGACGAGGCCGCACATGGCGCAGTGACTTCCACCCCCTTCGACATCTCACCTGCTGCAGCCGCGTGCCTGGCCTTCTAAGACCTCCGGGGCTTGGGGACTGGTGACCGTACCCGCTTGGCGCTCGGGCGTTTGTCGTTGTTTAAACCAAAGGGGGCACCCAACTAATTCCTAATTCGATTCCCGATATCCGTTTCCTGTCTTCCACCAAACCGGCGACCAGAACCAGAAACATCATCGCCAAATCCAACATGCGTGACCCCTTCCCATCGATCCCGGCCCTGAGCCGGGCCATCGAGCCTCTGGCCGAGCGCCTCGGCATGCCGACGCTATCGTTCCATATCCACGAGGTCGTCGGCGCCGCCCTGCTCTACACCTTCATACAAGTCGTCGTCTCGCCCGTGCTCTCGACCCGCTTCTTCCCGCAACACTACCCGCGCCATGACCGAGCCAAGAAGGCCAACTGGGACACTCACGTCGTTTCCCTCTTCCAGAGCCTGCTGATCAACGTGCTGGCCCTGTGGGTCATGTTCGTTGACAAGGAACGCCAGGCCATGGACTTCGAGCAGCGCATCTGGGGGTACACGGGGGGATGCGGCTTGATCCAGGGGTTGGCCACGGGCTACTTCATCTGGGATCTGGGCATCACCATCCTGAACCTGGACATCTTTGGTCTTGGGCTGCTCGCCCACGCCGTCAGCGCCCTGGCGGTATACACCCTCGGCTTCGTACGTCACCCTTCACCCCTCACCAACCCCCCCACCCCATCAAACTAACCCGTCCGTGCTCCAGCGCCCCTACATCAACTTCTACTCCCCCGTCTTCATCCTCTACGAGCTCTCCACCCCCTTCCTCAACATCCACTGGTTTTTCGACAAGCTCAACATGACCGGCTCCAAGCCCCAGCTCTACAACGGCATCGCCCTGCTCGTGACCTTCTTCTCGTGCCGCCTGGTGTGGGGCACGTACCAGTCCGCCCTCGTATACGCCGACATGTGGAAGTCCCTGACGCAGGTACCCTCGGCCGAGTACCTGGCCCGAGCTTTCGCCGACCCGACCACGGCCGCGGACCCCAACACCAACCCCATGTACTTTGCGCGCGACGCGCCGCCCATCCCCGTCGCCCTGACCGCCGTCTACCTGGTCAGCAACCTCACCCTCAACTCGCTCAACTGGTTCTGGTTCGTCAAGATGGTGGCCGCCGTCAGGAAGCGCTTCGAGCCCCCCAAACCGGGTGCCGCCGCTGCCGCTGCTGCCGGGAAGCGCGAGGCCGTGCCGGTGGAGGCTGTCTCGCGGTCGAAGGCGACCGGTCTGGATGAGAAGGAGCGCCTTGTGGCGAGGCAACGTAGGGCGCCTTCGATTATTGAGGATGTGGTGCCTGATACGGAGGAGTTGAGGGAGGGGACTATTCAATGAGGCATGGGTACTTGGAGAGAGAA